GTTCTGCACATCCCAGGCTTCACTGCCGGGCGTCCAGTCATTTGCTGCTCTGTATGGTCCCGAGGTCGCCGACTGGCCAACCTGTGTCCAGTTGTTTATTTTTCAAAAGGAAGAATATCAGCTCTGATGGTTCACAAAGCTAACTTTAATAAGAAGGCTGATGAGAGACAGAGAGGGGAGGGGTCTGGATGTGGTTTGGGTGGGGTGGGTGTGCACAATAAAACAAACGCCTGCAGACACAAACACACAAATAGAAACGAAGTACAAGGGTGCAGAGACTCACACAAGAGCACACACACAAAGCTAGTTATAAGCTATGGTCTAGCCTATTAATACTTAGGAAAAACCGCCTAGAGCTCACAGCTACAGCGGAACAAATCTAAAATGGAACCACTTATGAAAACAAATTTCCTGTGTTTATTGTTTTAAAATGGTCATTAATGGATCAGGGTCAGGTATTCTTCCTGTGGCGATAGATTGCACAGGTAGCTCCAAGCTTCCGGACTGATTTATTATGGCTTTAAATATAAAATACAGCCCTAGGGGGCTATTCTCTGTTTCCTTAAAGCCAGGTTTCCCCATGTCCTCATCCATGCGGGATAGCGGGAAACTGGACAGCTGAGTGAGCAGTCTCTCTTGTGCCTCCTGGGTGAGAGGCTGATTCCCAGACGAACAACTTGTGGGCTTCACATAAGATGTTGTGCTGCATTTCTCAGCGTATAAAACATTACACTGCTGCAGTATGTATAATAGTAACCCTCCACAATAAATACAAATAGCTGTATGAATAGCAGACATTGACTTTTATAACAAATGCATGTGTGTGCACATTAAATGAATCAAGGAACCCTGCTATGAGCATGCGCTCTTGATTAAATAAATAGGCACAAACCCACATATACGGGAGGCCTGTGTTCCCTTTTAGTGTGTTAATGAGCTCTTATCTGATGGAAACTGATCTGACCGCACCACCAGGGGTCTGACCTCTTGGCCTCACATAGACTAACACTTAATACCCTGTATTGACCGAAAGAGCTCCATGTATGTACGTTGATGTCAGTAAACCCAACACATCATATCAACAAGGGTCAATCGGTTGTTGGGTCTATGAAATACATAAGAAAATATAAAGGAAAAACATGTCATGGCATCTTCTAATAGGTTGTTTTGTGTGAAGTTTATAATCACAAAAGACAAAAAATGCAAATCCTCACAATTTGGCATTTTTAGTAGAAAAGGGGCACAAACAGATGATCAGACTGGCTGCTGATTCTCTTCCTGACAGTCGACTAAGAAATTATTTGACTACTTGTTTTTGCTCCACTATCAACAGTACAACATGCTGTATTGAAGCAGCATGCATTCACAGTCTCCTGCAGGAAATTTAAATTGTTGCTGTCTAATGGAAACCTGACACGAACCCCTTGGTAATACTTTCTGGAAATAAAAAGCCTTGTTTGTAGACTGAATATCAAAGAGGTTACACCATCAAAGACCATGTTAGACTCCCATTTTTTAAAGATACCAAATCCCAAACAGAATTTTGTAACATATGTGTGATGACTACATTGTTTTAACACACTCTCTCGCTGTACCGTCTTCAGTGACTGGTGACTGAGTAACATAGCTGACTGACCCCCCCGCATCAGACTAGTTAAACACCCTTGAAATGCAAATGGCCAAGATGACAATACACTCTGCCTACCCAGGACACATAGAGCCCCCACATGGTTCTAATTAGCCAATGCACCACAAAGATGCTGTGTTCATGTGGAAGTAATGAAGGTGTGTGAACCTAAGTTGAGGGAACAGGAGGGTGTTAACTACAAACAGCTGACACTATTAAGCAGAGATGGTCTTCGTGACATAAGCCCAAACAACTGCCGGCCATCTCGTGTATATGTCCATATCTGCAAACAACAAAGTGTCACAATGCTGCTTTTACTAAAAGAACACAGAGCCTGGGGTCAAATGGTATTTATAGACGGTGTCTTTGCTGCTCCAGCAGTGACTGAACCAGAGGGTCCTGCCTCTAAAATACAAACCCAAATCAGTTGGGACAGTATGTAAAGTCAAAATTAAAACTGAAAAGAGTGATTTGTAAATCATCTGTATTCCGCATTACATTGAAAACAATACAGCAGCACATTAGTTGATGTGATACCTCATCAGTTTTATTCTCTGTTCAAAATAAACACTCATGTCAATTCTGATATCAGCAACACATTCCAAAAGAAGTTGGGACGGTTGCATCTGAGGGCCAGTAATGAGGTAAAACAATGAAATGAAATTGACTGCTCTGGACTCGGAGGCATCTGGGATGGACCATCACACAGTGGAAATGGACTGTGGTCAGACGAATCTGTATTTCAGGTCTTTTTTGGAAGGAATAGACACCATGTGCTCTGGACCAAAGACGAAAAGGATCATCCAGACTGTCAACAAGTCCAAAAGGCAGGGTCTGTCATGGTCTGGGATTGTGTCGGTACCCTTGGCAAAGGTGACTTGCACTTCAGTGATGGCTCCGTTAATGCTGAAAAATACACTGAGATTTTGGAGCAATATATGCCGCCTTCAAGACGATGTTTTTTCCAGGGAAGTCCATGCATCCAAGACAGTGCAAAGTCTCATACTGCACATCACCACGGCCTGGCTGTGGAGGAAAAGGTTGCAGGTGCTAGAGTGGCCTGCCTGTAGTCCAACCTGTTCCCAACAGAGAATGTGTGGCGTATTTTGAAAAGCAAATTGCATCAACGAAGACCCAGGACTGTTGCACACCTTAAGACTTGTTTGCAGGAGGAATGGGACAAAATGACACCTGACACACTTAATCACTTTGTGTCCTCAGTCCCTAAATGCCTTTAAGTGTTGTGAAAAAGAACGGCAACATCACACAGCGGTAAACGCTTTACTGTCCCAACTCTTTTTGGAATGCGTTGCAGGCATCAGAATTGAAGTGAGAGTTTATTTTGAACAAAGAATAAAATTAATGAAGTATCACAACAAATAACGTGCTGCTGTATTATTTTCAGTGTAATGCAGGACACAGATGGACACCATCACCATTTGCAGTTTTAATTTTGAATTTACAAACTGTCCCATCTTTTTTTAATTCAGAAGCATGTCCTTCAGCCAGAAATGTCAGTGACAAATTCAACATTACCACTGAGTGCTGCCCCCTGTTGGGCCCCTGCCCTCATGCATGCTGAAAGGCGAGCACCCTGATGTAGCGGGCATAGCTTAAATGGCAGAAATGCCACTCTTTTTACGTGATAGC